CACCGCGGCGTGGTTCTTTGGGCTCGCGGTTGCAATGACAGAGTAACCCGCTGCAGCGGCAAGCTGTACCGCGTATTGGCCCACAGACGACGATGCGCCCCATATCAGCACCCATTCCGGTGCAAACCATCGGCGGTGCTCCTTGGGTCGTGCAAGTTTAAGCCCGGATTCGGCAAAGAGCCCAATGATGGCTGTGGTGACGCCGGCTCCGAGCGTGGATGCCTGCTCATGCGTCAGATTCTCGGGCTTCTTGAAGACCCCGGCCGCGGGAGCGGTGGCGTACTCGCTGAACCCGTCAATCGCCGGGCGGCCAAAGACTTCGTCGCCAACCTTGAATTGCGAAACGTTGGGTCCAACAGCAGAGATCGTCCCGCTGACATCGAGGCCGAGGCGGGCTGGAAACGACCGGACAAAGAAGCCGGTGTTGGCCATCTTATGGTCGATAGGGCTTCATGTACGAAAAAGCGCAAACTATAATCAGCCTTCATGTACCGCCCACTCTACGACCAACACTTCTCCGCATATCGCCGTAATGAAAGGGACTCTTACTTGACAGCAGCAGCCTTAACCTTGATGATGACGTGGCCGTCGGCGGGCGCGGCAGGCTCGCCGACGTCCTCGACGGCAAACTTTCCGACTTCCTTGACGACAAAAGCTTTGGGCATGGTGTAGAGAGGGATGGGAAAATGAAATATATGTGGGAAATTGAACTTGAATAGATGCAGATGTGGATGCAAATGTGGGATGCAAAGTGAACGTGGCCCAGGACGTGGCCGGTGACGAGCCTGATGACTCAATACTCTGGGATCACAAATACTGTAGTCGCGCTGAATCTCAGTCACCGGGCTGTCAAATGTGCACGAGCAAGACAAGAGGACAAGACACCGATTCGTCTTTATCGTTTGCTAAACACCAGGATAAAATTGTTGGCAGGCATGTCTCTAACCTCTCGAAGCAAGAAGCCCGACTTCTCAAACTCCGTGGCAACTTTTTCGATATCACGCAGTCCCCACTCGCTGTTGCGCCTACGAAGCTGTTGATCAAACTGCATATAGCGTACGTAGAGCGGCATACCAAGAAAAGCCCTGGTCAATAACCTACGCGGAGAAGGACCCTGTAACGCTGATGAAAGTAAGGTCTCCGACCAACCTCCTCATTGCTGGTCGTCGTGAATTTTCCGTCCCGCTTGAAAGCGCCATACAGTACCAACACGCCATTATCGGCCGTAACGCTAGGAACGTTTTGTGCCAAAGCAACGGTAACATTCCAGGGAGCGATATGAAGGAGATTGCCCAGGTAAACCACGTCAAAGCGACCATCGCGAGCAACGAGGGATTGGGCGCGGTCCCAGTCGGCATCACTGGTTGCGTCCAGCGTAAGCGGTGGTGCTACGTTAGGGATCTCCTTAGTGTAAGCCCTGATGGAACTCAGAAGAGCGGGATCATTGATTTCCGAGGGCTGAAATGTGACAGCAGGGAACGATTGAGCCCACAGAGTAACATGCTGCCCTGATCCAGATGCGACTTCCAGAACTAGGCAAACCTCAATGTGTTAACCTCGTTCTGCCAACATCTTGCACAGGCTAAAATTATTAATGGATACCTCTCTTGGCGTCCGCGAGGTAAGGCGACAGTGCTTTGAGGATGTCAGCCTTATTGCGCTCTGCATATGTGTATACAATGCGTGGGTCTGCTTCGTCTGTATTGAGATTTGAAGCCATGTTATGAGAGGACAGACCATTGGAACCTGTTTTGGAGCTCATCTTGCTAATGCGGGTGTGCGCCATCAGGCCGTTTAGAGAGAAGGGGGAAAGTCATCAGCGGGTGGCTGGGCGGTTGATTTACGGCGCATTCTCTCTTTGCCTTTCCTCGCCCCAACCGTCTCGGCGTCGATCGCCATTGCCATTCCTTTCCTTGTCTGGCTTAATTCTCGCAACACACAGTCATGAATCGCTGCAGTCGTCATATGACAAAGGCCGCATCAGTTTCCGTCCGCTATGCTGTTAGCCGTAGCATTTCCAGCATCTCCGCCTCCCAAGCGTTCGCTCGCTTGCCAACACGACCGCAACAACAAAAACCTACTCTCGCTCTCGCCCGCTCTCTTCAGCTTGCTTCTATCCGCTGGCTATCTCTCTCCCCGACCGCGCGAGCTGCGGCTGCCGCCCCGCCGCCACCCGCAGACACAAACAGCGATGACCCATCAGCAACAGCCGGCGTCGATCCCAACACCACACCGCACGTTCATACCCTCTTCACAACCCTTACTCACGCCATAAACTCTTCCACCGCGGCACCTGACGGCCTCCGCCGCCTCGCTTACGCTCTCCGCACATCCGCTGACGCTGCTCTTTTCCAATCAGCCCTCAAGCGCTGGCGCACCGCCAAAACCCACCAGGACCGCACCGACAACATCCTCTTTTTCGACCGTCTGTTCGCAGTGCATGCCCACGATGTGCTGCTCGACATGCTGTGCGACCGCCCTGCTTACCGCCTGCTGCCCGACCCGGTGCATATCGATATGCTGTTGATGGGTTTCAGAAGCAGGTTTGGGAAGAGAGAGGCGGCGCAGGATGAGGCCCGCGCAATTGAGACGCTTGACCAAATTTTCAAAACGTTTGCTGTTGCGCTGTATACGGATATCCCGCCTACGGCTGATATGTATGCGCAGGTTATCCTTGCGTGTCTGGAGAGCGGCACAAAGGAGGGTGTCCGGCGCGCGCAGATCACGGCTAAGGAGCAGGCCTCGCTCGGCCTGCCTATTGCCGAGGAGGTGAAGCAGAAGCTGGCTGCTGTTGAGGCGTGATCAAAAAACATACTGTGCCCACCGAAGATTAAACATATAAATATTTATATTTTCAAGCTGTTGCAAAGCCTTGCGCTTTCTTGTCTAAAATGGTTCTAATACAAGTGACAGGACTTAATATTGTAACAGAGTTCCCGCCAGCAGCAGCCTCGATGTTTAGGGCACAGGTTTTCTTTGCAATATACGTCACACGCCCGCCCGATGTATGCGGCAGTAGGGTGTGGCGACTCCACAGAGAGTCAGGGGACCGCATCCCTTGCCCACCGGCCGGCGCAAGCATCGCTCACCTCAAGGAACGAAGGCTGTGAACCAGATCGACCATTTGCTCCGCATTGCGGCCAAGACTTCGAAGTATAGGGTCGCTCCGGATAGAGTGCCGGAGACGCCAACCGTCACCGTTGCCGCACGACCGCTAGGGTCAGCGCCGGCGAGGGCCCGCGATCCCACCTCATACCTTGACGTGAAGAAAGAGCCGGGCGCCGCGCAACGCCGCGGTAGTCATCGCATTCGGCTCCACCAAGATGGGGGTTGTCAAACTTGCCAACAAAATTAAGCAACGACGGCGTTGGCCCATAGATGCTCCGCTTGAAAAACCAGGGCATTGCGGTGGGCTTTGCATGATGTTTTTTTTACGCTTGATCTGGCTTTGAATACCGCTAATGTCAAGTCCGACACCGCGGTAGCAAACGAGCCGCAGTCTCTTATTTCTTACAAGTTGGTTTGGACGCTTTGTCCAGAATCACACGCAAGGGAGCGATCATTGGCTGGACGCTACTCTCAGCGAGCAAATCGGACAGCGGCGGATCATCGAGCCAAAGACCTTATAAAGATCTTTTGCATGGAAATGTCTACGGATTTTCTTCCAAGTGCTGGCAAGGCCTGTGTGCTGACCATGGTCATCATCGCAGTGGTATTTGAAGAACTGCTCCAGGATCTATCAAGTTACAAAATGTGAGTTACACATGCGGCCATTGATCTGGGCACCTGCAGCCTCACCTCGGTTTTACTGTGGAACTCGATTCGGCCACTCGCTTTGTGAACCAATCTTCGTTCCTTCTGCTCCCATGTGTATCGCCCTGCCTGAAAGAAGAAATGTGCAAAATGTGAGATGTGCGGCGGATGAGGTATTTCTGCATTCGCGGACACCGTTAGCACGGCTATGCGGTGCATAGCCGGCATTGTTTCAAGCTTCCAGGTAAGTTGCAAAATCAGGGGGATTGTGGAGAGCACACCATGACGTAGTTACCTTTGCGCGCAACGCTCTCCTTTTCGTCCTTCGTACAACCATTAGGGTATCCGCGGCCTTTGATATAGTCGATCACTTCCTGCGTACTCTCCAGGTGTCGCGCTATGGCATTGTGCTCTTTGCGGGTGACTACTTTCCACTCGGGTGATGGTTCGCCTCTTATCGGTGTCGAAGTTCGTGAAAAAAGGTCGTCGGCGTCGGGGCAGTCTCCCATTACCAGATACCGGCCCCAGTTGGGAAGCGGCTTAGACCACAAAGAGCCATTCCATCGAATGATCTCGTTGCCCCATGCCGGCGGCTCTTTTTGAGGACATAGGAAGAGGTCATGTTCCTTGAGGTCAAACCGGATTGCCAGCTTACTCGGGACGCAATCCTCCAATCGAATAATGGCCTGGTTGTCTTCGTCAATGTCCATAACCACAGTAAACGCAGCACGTGATTCCGATTTTTGTTTCTTCGTTGGGGGAGAGGCAGCCATGCTAAGGGGAGAGCACGGAGTGAGTTTCTAATTTACAGAAAAGTGTGGAGGTTCTAGAGAGAAGTCACAAACCTTGTACCGCATCTCTCGCACAAGGTACGCGGCACAGTTGGCGCGGGAGGAGGAGGAGGAGCAGGCGGTGGAGGGGGTGAAGCGCCGGCAGCAAGCATCTTTTTGAGAGTATGTGTGTAGATGTGTTTGTTGTTGCGAGAATGTACAGATCACCGCGTGAACGGCGTTCCCATCTTGGCTACCGGTACTGTTCGCCTGCTTTCGCAGTCCAAAGAATCACACTGGGCCGCTTGATTGAAGCTTCAGTCTTGCCACCGCCAGCGTGATGGTTTCGATGGGGTTGAATGGATAGACGTGCGGGCCAGTGTATTCGCAACACTGGAAGTCTGAACGCAAAAAGGAAGCCTTCTTTGTCACGTAAGCATTGTAATGCAATTCTTTTACATTCCTTAACCGTCAACCGGTCCAATGGCAAAATTGGTTAATGCGCCCGCCTACGAAGCGGGAGACTCCAGGTTCGAGTCCTGGTTGGATCGCATCATTTCTGTTTTTGTTTTTGTCACTGTGCGTCTTGTTTTGCGCAAGACGTAAGAAACGTCCGCGTATGGGATTTCAGTTAGCCGGCCAGTTCGTCCAACGAGTGATCTTCTTTGAGGCTGGACGGTCATGCTTGTGAGTTTTGGAAAACGCAACGGTGGCTGCGCCACTCAAGGCTGTCAGAAAACTTTTAACCACAATATAGGCCTTCCTCGCAGTGCAGACAATCAGATTAGTCGATTGGGGAAAGCGCATCTCTCGCTGTGAGTCTGTCTAAACCAATTCCAAGAGAAAGAAGGATGGGTAAAGCAAAACAATGAAGAAAACAAAAAGAAAAAAAAAAAAACACATCCCCCCATGCTCAAAAGTAACCCTTGCGAAATCCACAGATGCCCTCGCGCCCTACTAAACAAGTGGGTGATTTGTTTGTAGTTTGGGGTCCATTTTTACTACAAAATCACACATTTCGTTTTTTTCTTTGCCCCACCGCCGCCGCTGCCCCCGCCACCACCAGCACCACCACCCCTACCGCCGCCACGCCCACCACCATGATGCGGGCTTCCCGCGCCGTCGCCACCCGCGCCCGGCGGGAAAAACCGGCGACACTCGCGCACGAGCATGTGGAATGATTCCGTGACGTTGGTGTTTTCTTTGGCCGAGGTCTTGAGGTATGGGATTTTGGACGTTGTGCAAAAAGACTCGACGAGCGTGTCGTCGACTTCGATTTGGTCGGGTGGTAGGTCCTATTTAGATGGACGAAACACAAAGGAAAACAGTTAAAGAATACCCCGCGCGCACATGTAACATGCCCGAAAACAAAGGCGGAAAAGAGCGAAAAAAAGCTTTTTCCCACGCCGCGGCCGCGAGGGGGCCGGCCGCCGCCGCCGCCGCGCGCGACGCCAGTAAAAAAAAAATAAATAAACTCACGCATTTATTTCCGCAAATCACAAGGGGCACTCTCTTCGTATCCTTTAGCTTCACAATCTGGTCTCGCAGCTGCTTGATTTCCTCCCATGTTGCGCGGTCGTTGCATGCAAAAACGAGCAAAAAACCCTTCCCGTCTTTCAAATGCTGGTCCCGCAGCGCAGTGTATTCGTGCTGCCCTGCCGTGTCGATAATGTTGACCGTCGTGTTGGTGTTGTCCACTGTGATGTGTTTGCGGTAGTTTTCCTCTATAAACAAAAAGAAGTAAATAACATGGTTAAAAAAAAGGGGAAGTTGGCATTTTGGTACCAAGGCTCCTCCCCATCTGAGGGCTCTTTCTCGTCCCATGCTTTTTTTTTTCTTACTTACCTATTGTGGGGTCATAATCATTTGTGAATTCATCTTTCAAAAAGCGCACCGTCAAACACGACTTTCCAACGCCTCCAGATCCGACAACCACCTATATAGGATAGTCAGAAAAAAAGCGCGCGCGCGAAGTAAGAGCACAGAAAATGGAAAGCGGAACCAAGGTAAGTGACGGGTGATATCAATAGCCGTAGAAGTATCCCGCAAAAGCAGGAGTACAGATGAAAAGAAGGAAATTGTGAATCACAGTGAAGTCGTGTCGTTTGGCGAAACATTGGCGGCCAAAAAAGACGCCAAAATGGATCAACCGCCATTTTTTATCCCAACGATTGATTTTTTTTTTTTTGTGTCGTTTTCCTGGGCCCCCCAACTCCTTTCGTCCATCCGTTTCTTCTCGTAAATAATGAATTCCCGTAATCTCCCCCACAACAGCGGGGCGCACGGGCGAACCGCATGTTCCGTTTGCCTCTGTGTTGACCCCGCAATATTGCGTTCCTTTTGCCTTTGTGATTTTTCCCCGGTTCCGAACTCACCAACTCTTGTATCTCCACTGGATCTGCTGCAACTTTTGTCATTGCTTGATGTCGAGAGAGCGGGTGCGTGTGAGGGGGGGGGTGGGGTTGGGGCGAGACGAAAAGGTGTTTCCGTAGAGAGGCTGGAGGTAAGCGGGAGGCGAGGGGGTGTATGTCCGTGAGTCCGCGAATAAAAGAAAACACGACGTCCTCAAAAGGGAAGTAGCGGATGGCCGGCGTAAGGAGATGCTTCGAGGACGCGGGGTTTAATATTTTGTTCTTTGCGGCAGTCTCAGGGCACCAATGAAGGTAAAATCGACGCTGTCGGAAAACCACAAAGACGTTTTTGTGCGCCTCTTCCTCTTGTTTACAGATCGGGGGATACTGATGATTTTCTGACAGCGTTTCTCCGTTCTTCAGCTGTGGCTCAACGAACACCCCCGCCCCCAGGTCGACGACGGTGATGTAAAAGGCTGTCGAAGCGCGTTTCGCAGTAAAAGCGGAAACAACAAATGTGCGCCAAGATTGATAACAGGTTTCTCCCTTTTCTCAAGCGCAAAAGCAGGAGCTGACAGAGAAAGACAAGGGTATAAAGGAAGCCTGTTTGTGCCTTGTCGAATGAGAAGCGGGCGGCCGAGGTAGCAATAAGGATGGGAGGGGCTGGGGGTGGAAAACAGCGCTGATTACGAACAACGCGCCCCCCCGCCCACGGAATATTTTTTTGACAGTGCGCTTCTTTCTCAACGGTTCCAAACCCCCACATGAACAAAATATCATATCAGTTCCGGCAGTACCAATGTAATGTAAAAATTCAGCAAAGAAAGATGGCGGAATAGATAGTTTTAGCGCCAAAAATCGGACCACCGACAACTCGATCGAACATGCCTACAGAGGTCTATGCAAAAAACGTCTAAATGAACACGAAAAACAAATGCCCCACCGCGTTTCCATCCATCAGGCCGGAGGAAAATTTGGTGGTGGTTCGGTCCGCAACTAATGGTGTGTTGCGTGCATAAGTTAAAAAAAAAACGGGAACCATCAAGAGCAAAATCCGTGACAAAGAGGGCAGGCAGTGTTGATTTTTTTTTGCTGTTCTCGTTTTCCGGCCCCTCTCTCATACCTCCCAAATGCCCTTTGACGGCCGCTCGTTAACCTTGGTCTCATATCGCGTTTCCTCCCTCTCGCGAATCATTTTCTTTGCAAGCAGAAAAAACAAGGGGACACAGAGTAGTGGTGTTTTAGTTTTAGCGTGCGATGGGAAAGACGTCTTAGGGAGAATAAAGACCAAAGAGCAAAAGCGAAAAGCCATTCGCCATCGGTCCCAGAGGGGTCCGCGGGGCTTGCCCCGCACAAAAAAGGAAAATGTAGGGAAGACCAAAAGGCCAAAAGACTCGCTACGCTCGTAAAGCGACCAAAGGCCAAAGAGCAAAAGCCAAAGAGCAAAAGCGAACAGCCATCCGCCATCGGTCCCAGAGAGGTCCGCGGGGCTTGCCCCGCAAAAAAAAAAAAAAAAAAAAAAAGAGGAAAGAGTAGCGCAAGACGAAAAGGCTCGCTACGCTCGCCTTGTATCCGCGCTCCGCGCGCGGAAAGCCTCGCTTCGCTCGGCACAAAGGCCAAATGGCCAAAAGGCTCGCTGTGCTCGTAGTATGATTTGCTCGCTACGCTCGCAGAACGCAAAGATCATCGCTACGCTCGTGACAAAGCTCGCTCGCTTTCTCACCTCTGCAGCGGCGCGGCCTTTGCCTTTTGTCTTTAGACAAAAGTTGAATTCCTCGCGAGCAGCGGAGCAGTCGCGGAATGTGCCGTAGCGGTAATAGTGCTTGATCTGCGGTATCGCGGCTGAAGAGAAAAACGGCGGAGGGGGGGAACGGGGAGCGGTAGGGGGGCAAAATATTGGTGAGCACCAGGCGGAAACCGCATTTGCAACTGGCAGTTTTGGGGGAGAGAATTGGGCCGTTTACTGTAGCACAGCTGCATTTTATCGAATGCAGTCCAGAGAGAGCATGTCGGCCGCTTGTCACTGCTGGTGGTGGTTGTGATAACGCTTGGTGGTGGTGAGTCTGTCATGTTTGCGAGTTGTCTAGGGGGTGGTTGCGAGGATGAGCTCTGAGGGAAAGCGCGCGGGCGCTCCTGGCTGTGCATCTCATTCGTTGGGGGATTTTCCTCCGCTGAAAAGACTGACAAGACGGGTAGTAGGGTTGCAAGGCACTACTACTACTACTACGCCGACGATGATGATGCCCACCTGTTTTTCATTCAGTGACTGTGCTGCTGCTTCCGGCCGGCTGCAAGGGGCGGGTTGCCGTTCGCTATCCGACAGGCAGTAGTGCGCAAAGGGCGGAGTGCCCCAGCAGCCAACCGACAAAGCAAAGCGCCTGCCTGCCTGCCTGCCTGCGCGCCGGCGGGGCGGGCGGGGCGGGGCGGGGGCGGACGGGACTAATAGGTAGTTATGCCGACACCAACAGGAGAGCGGGCGGGCGGGTGGTCCAGATTCTACTTTTCTTTCGCTTCCCAGCGCGTCTCGGGCCCGCGGGGCCTCCATCCAATAATCCCATACTACTACTCTTTACGATAGGGAGAGCACGACAGAGAGAGAGAGAGGGACAGAGAGGGAGTGCATGAGTGGCATGGCAGAGAGAGTATTTTCTCTTGAGAAGAGACAGAGAGACTAGTAGTAGAGAGCTAGCTGCCTTCTTCTTCCCGTCTGATCTGCATCGGATTTACCGCCCAGTTAGTTGGTCGATCAAAAGGCACACAAGAAAATCACTCCGAGTCTCTATAGCACCTTCCCCATGTCCCTACTAGGCCCCGCCTCCTCGCAGCTTTCCCCCGCGCAATCCTCCTCCTCCTCGCATTCCTCCTCCCCGTCGGTGGTCCCAACGGCTGGCCCGCTTGGCTCCCGTACTATTACTACGCCCCCCGCCTCGCACACATCCTCCTCCTCTTCGTCTCCCGCGTTCTGGGCCGGCTGGCGCTCCTCCCGCACTCCAAAAATGCCTGTCCAGCAGCCATTGTCATCACAGCAACGGTTACCACCACCACCACCACCCACTGTCGTCGTCCGCGTTCGCCGATTGCTGCTCTTTCTCATCACCGCGGCGCTCACTCTCTCTGTCATTCGCCTCGTTGCGTTTGTGGAGATTCTGGTCAATACCCTTACCAAAAACGGCGGCGGCGGCGGCGGCGGCGGCACAAAG